TGAGTGGTGATGGTATATATCAGATCTAAATAAATTAGTAGATCTGATACATGAAAAATTTATGTAGGTTATTTCCATTACTATCACATGGAAATTCCAATGCAGTAATACCATAGCAAATGATATTAAGTGGATAAGGTTGGGCTAGATTTAACCTATCATCTCTCTCTCTCTCTCTCTCTCTCTCTCTCTCTCTCTCTCTCTCTCTCTCTCTCTCATGTACTCTCTTAGCATAGCGATGTTGTGACTACTAATACAGCGCTAATGGCAGTGTAGCTGCAATAGGAAATGCAACAGTAATTAAACTATTTTATTTTTATATAATTTATTTATACCCATTTGTATTTCTTATCTTCTCGGACAGAGTGAGAAAGAGCCCAAGAGAAAAAAAGGAGAGAGGGTAGAGGGGGAAATAGGAGATTTTACAGGCTATTGTTAGGTGTTTCCCATTTGAAGTTGCAAGTTTTGCTACTTTATGATATACATCTAAATAATTCATATATGTTCATATTATTGCTTCATTTATAACATGGTGAAAAGGAGGTTGGAGGAGAATTGAAGGTAGTATATGTAAGATGATATCACCATGTGAAACTATTGTACTATATTTGTCAATGTAATAGATTTGAGATGAATGTGGAGTTACAAGCAAGTTTGTCCTCCATCTATTTGTGTAATACACAAAAGATGAAAGTGAAGCTATAAGTAGCCATGTGGAGGAAGAAGAAGGAATTGGGAAAAATTGGCTTAAATCGGCTTGCATTCATACATTGTATAAATTATGTTATATGAAACATTCAAATCATGGTATGTGAACCATTCTGATGAATATACAAGCTTCAATGTGTGTTAAGTAATAATGCTATTATGTAAAATGATGTTGTAAAATGAGATAGAATATAAATGTCAAACTGATATGGAAGAATGATATGAAAGCTCTAAAGATAGAAATGATGCTTATTATAAATTACTTTATAGTAAATGGATGTCATAATTTATTTTATTTATATGTTCACCTATATAATTATATATGCATTGTTTGTTTATTATGTATGATAAATCTTAATGCAAGTTGTTATAGAATATAAATCAAATGCTTTAGTGAGCTTTTAGTAATCTGTTAAATAATGAAATTTTTGTATTTTCTATTGTATTGGATGGAATAAAATATGATGTCATTGTCTTTACTGATATTGAGTGATTTTATATAAAATGAATAGTTTTGGTCCTAATATCAATACATCCAACTCGGTTTTGGGTCATCTCAACATAAGCCTTAGAGTCATATGATGGTATGGCTAGCCTTAAGGTGTGTTATGCTCATCAATTACATTCTTCATAACCAGTAATAATAAAATAGTTTAGTCATAAAATATTTTAATAAAAAAATTTAATCATTACAATAAAAGCAACATCATCAAATCTTTATCTCATTACTTGAGGTCAGCTACGTGAATCTTTTTTTCTCACTTGATGATTTAAATGTAAACCATCTTTTGGTCATATAATTTGATCATTCTCTAACTAAACTTATAATTTGAATATTTCATATATTATCATGTGGTCACCATCATTAGCTTAAGATGCATAAAAGGTTGTACTAAGTATATCTCTAGGATTCCTATGATTAGGGTGAAACTAGGATCACACTTTCTTTTTGGCTTGTTTTGTGTTGCTAGATTGACAATATTATTTGGATTTAATTGTGCACTATAATTAATATATTTCACCTTACAGTGCATAGTCTGTGTTGCCCTTTTAGGCACTGCTTTCTTTCTTGGCCTAGTACTGCGTTAGGCCAATAATAAGTATAAAAAACAATTTGTATATGTGTTTCACAGATTGTTAACACCATGAATTTCAATATTCAACAACTTAGTTTTAATGATAATAAACAAGTATTTGGATACTTCTAATGATTTTAGATTAGTTAAATGCTCTTAAAAATCACCGAAAGATATTTTTAAATATGATAATTAATTTTACATTTTATGTGCCTTTTTTCGTTAGTTTAAAAATTAGATTAGGTCAAGTTTTCAGTTTTCTACATTTAAATGAGTTTTAGTATATATTATCAAATAGTAATAACTTCTTATGCGCTCATTTTTCAGTTATTTAGGCTTCATTTGGGATTGCTTTTTGATACAAAATTTTTATTTAAAACATCGAAAAAATAGTAGTCAAAAGTTGTCCCAAACAGAACCTTAATTCACTCTCAATTGATCAAACATCTTTTCTAGTTAAATTCATAAATTTTTTCGATAATTTTATGTTGAGTTTTTTAAATAAAAATTAAATGTCATTTTTCCTTAGCAAATCTTCCTTATTGGACTCCACTCGAGAATGCAAATTGTGGTCCCAATTAATTCAAAGTATGATTGTCACAGCTTTCTTCGGCAGACCAAATTACATAATCCCTATAACTGCCCGTCCAGGCTATTATGTCCAAAATTTGCTGAAACTATTCTATTGGCTCCTCTCGTTTCCAAAGGCTTTCCCATTTTAATCAAAAACCTCTCCATACTTTTCTAAGAAGTATTATATTTCTTGAATCAATTGAAATGACTCTTACTATAGAACCTAAAACTATTTTTAACGATATCATTTCTCACAAATACACTCGAGAGAAAAGATGGAGTAAACTCCCTTCACACAACACTCAATAAGGTATTTTAAACTTCTATAGTGAGCTTTCATAGAGAGCCAAAAGATGACGAAAAGTGCATATAGCATTTGTTTGTATGTGCTAACCAAAAGACCAAGCAAAAGAAGAATTAGAAATGAAGCTTGTTACTTAAGCTAGTGATAATGTTTGTCTTTCAGTTGATCCCTAAAACATCCTTTGTTGTTGGAGAAGCTTTCGTGATCTTCACAACCGTTAGCACTTCCTAGATAACATTGTTGATAAAGCTCCAACAACAACTCGGCAAGGTTAGTTAAGGATGGGTCTATAACTCTCCTTGACTTAACTACTCCATATCAACTCCACTTGGGGTGGTGAAGCCCTAGGAACAAAGTGCTCTAGGTGGATAATTCTCAAGTTGGGCTCCACCCACCTTTTCCAGTTTTAATATCTCACAACAAGCTATGGCATAGGCTAGGATTGTAATGGAATGACTCACATGCTCAAAAAATTTCTAGCGGAGGAAAGGGGTTTCTAAATATTATCATGCTATTAAAAGTTGGGTTTTTTAGCTTCAAAGTAATTAGCCTTTAACCCAGGTTAAGAGGAAAAGAAATCAAAATTTATGCCAACAATAAAACACATTAGATGCCTCAATTGTTTAGTTAGCTATTTGGGTAAGCAAGTCAAAGGATAAAGCTAATCCACATAGTGGGTTTAGGGTTTGGCTATAAAAATAGCTTTGGCTTCAATTAGCTTGCCTAATGTTATTTTAAGGGGCTTAATTAGCTTAATTTTTCTAATTTGGTTAATTAGGTTAGCCTGGGATCAACTGATGCTAGCCATCAAATTGGCTAAGACCAAATGATTGACTAGCCTTGTAGGGGAGTATAAATTCTAGTAATGACAAAATCAATGAATCTCGAGGGTATGGAGAAATCTAAATGAGTCCCTGGTGTTCATGTCAGAAACATTCATTTATTCAGTCAATTGAGGCAAATTTCATTCCCTAAAGGAGAGTGCCATTGAAGTTGATATGATTGTTTTGCCTGATTTCTTTAGTTAGAATTTGATAGATACCTGTGAAATACCAACATGAAAATGTATGAGTATTCAAATACAATAATACCTCAAGTCTAGGCTTAAGTCAAGTTAAGACTTGCAATAGTCCAATATGTCCAAACATTAGTGTGTTAGGGTGCAGCAGGGTCATGAGTCCAAAAGGATGAAGGAATTCAAAAGGTGTGCTCATTGTGATGGTGAAGCCGTCTAAAGGAGGTTACCTATATCAATAATTCTAAGATCTTAGAGATAAACTTAAGGACAATAAAGCTAGGACTAAACTTAAGGGTCCACTAAAATGGACTTGCTTGTATCAATGAAGTCGCTTGTTGAAGTCTAACTAAATTAACATAGTTTTGAGCAACTCTTAGCTTATCCAAATGTGAACTCGATGCCATCAAAGTTTTGGCCGACATAATTGTGACAATAAGAGCTCAAGGGGTCAAAGGGATATACATGGAGAAATAATGCTACTAAAGATTATGAAGCCTAACTCATAAGATCTTCATACCTATAAGGGTCCTAAGTGCTAAACAAGAGTGCTCTACGCTTGGGATCAGACTGTGAGGCTCAACAATAGATGCAAAGGCAATCTTATCTAAAAAGGAGGTCAGCAACATCGACACCTTAAAGAGAGAAGAAGAAAGTAAGAGGCTTGCATAATGGATGGAGAGAGGAGATTTATTTAGACTTCCAAATATTTTTAGACTTCCAAACACTAAAAGTTGCATATATTTAGACTTCCAAATACTTTTATATTTAGAGAAATTATTCTGTGCAAATACTGGATGGAGAGAACCGTCCGATTTTGCTGTGCTTTTGCAAAAGGATAGTAAAAGGACAGCAAATATTCAATTATGAATACATTTTTATTATCCTTTTGCAAAAGCGCAACAAATATTAAATATTTGCTGCCTTTTTATTGCCCTTTTGCAAACGTGCAGCAAAAGAACAACAAAAGCACAACAAATTCGGACCGTTCTCTCCATCTGATGTCCGCACAGAATAATTAATCCTATTCTGAACCACAACAAGGAAAAGAACATTACGGGCATCATTATTTCCACTTTTTTCAACTAAAGCACAAAAATTTCAAGCTTGACTGACAAAAAGAAAGGCAAAATGTATTTAATCAAAGCATTCCGAAACAACATAAAAGCAAAGAAATAATTATAGAAAAAACTACTGTAGTTTTTCTCATTCGAAGCTAGAATTTGACATACTAGACAAATAGCAACTGGCTGAATCTTCAAGCAGCCATAATCAGCCATATTTCCACTTTTTTCAACTAAAGCACAAAAATTTCAAGCTTGACTGACAAAAAGAAAGGCAAAATGTATTTAATCAAAGCATTCCGAAACAACATAAAAGCAAAGAAATAATTATAGAAAAAACTACTGTAGTTTTTCTCATTCGAAGCTAGAATTTGACATACTAGACAAATAGCAACTGACTGAATCTTCAAGCAGCCATAATCAGCAATCCCTTGAGGCATAGTTCTCCTATCATCATAACCCAGTTGCAGAATTTCAACATAGAAGTCATTCATGCACAAATGTCTGGAACCTTGTACAGACTAAACAGATACTAATACTTGGTATACTAGCTAGCTGCATCTCTCCAGAGATGGTTGGTGATTTGAATCTTCAATGTTTCTCCACTCTTTAAACTTGCAGACCGGTCTTTCTATGCGATAACTTGTGGCATCCATTTCAAGCTGTAAGCAGTATTTCCTGAAAGTTCCTATGCTAACTTGAAGCTTGAAGTCTAAGCTAAACAAGAAGTTCAGCTCCAGTCTGTTCATCTCTGTAGTGGTGACACCGCCCACCCTAGCATAGTAAGCATTATTGTAAAATCTGCAGTTTTTTAGCAATGGTAAGATCAATTAATGCATATCATAAATCTCTCTTCTTAAGGGATGGACAATCATCAATTCAACAAAGACATAATGTAAATCCTTCAACTTTGAAGGAAATAAAAGAGGGGGAAGAAAAGAACTTGATATTTAAATGATTAGGAAATCGGATTGAAATTAACTTTTACACCCTTGTTTGATTAATGATAAATTGAGTGGAAAAGAAATTTCTGTTTTTTGTTTGGATTGGATGAATAAGCATTAAATTGAAGCATGAACACGACGTACTATAAATTCATTATCTTAGTTTTAGTTCAGCTTTTAACTGCGTTAACAAAAGAATCGTAAAGCGAAATATACACCCTGGGAGAAGTCATTTTCCAATGACTTACAACGAATGGATTCAAAAAAAACAGTCAAGATGTAATTATGTCGTAAATGCATTTCCGTTCTGCTTAATTCCTCCAAACAAAACACAGATAAGAGGTGTTACATAAAGTGAAGTAAAAAAAGAGTAGAAGGTTCATAGCTTTAGACGATACATTAGTAATCTGAAGTCAAAAAAATATTAAAAAGTGCAAGTCACTAGAAAAAAAAGACAATTGAAATATTTCTTGCAAAATAGACAATAAAAGACAAAACAAGAGATGTACCTCACATCTGCTAGATAATGACTTATAGTACGAATTATATGCACCTTGCACATTGTGCCGAAAAAAACACATGTAAGGTAGTGGCGAAGCTCTAGAACTGGAGCGATTATTCTGTGTGGACACCGAACGGAAGAACCGTCCGGTACCGAGCGCTTGGTACTGAGCACAATATATTTTTTGGGACGACATGGCACATTTTTATTGTCTCCGGACTAATCCGGACCCGCACGTAAAAATTTTTCCTAGTCAAAGATTTCATTTTTTTAGATCAGAGAGTTCGTAGATAGGTGGTGGAATGGCTTATGCACTCTGCTAATGATTACAACTAAAGGAGTAGTCACTAAAAGTTGCATCCTTGCATTTTTAGAAGGCAGTCACATCTCTTGTAAAGCTTAACATGACTTCCGTATTGTTTACCAACAGTTTCAGATAGTATGTATGGAAGGTAAATTTCATTTTTATTCATTATCAATATCATCATTATCCTTGTCCCAACTATTTTGGTTTGGTTTTATTTCATTTTAACTTTAATTTAGCTTTATTTCTAACTTGAATGGGGAGTAACTGATCACCAGACAATAGCGGACCAGTCCTTACCCCTTGAAGATTGTTTATGACTCTTCAAAATGTAAGCACCCGTTATGAAACAACGACAGGAATAGGAAGCGAATTTGAGCTTTGCGGACTGATTAGCAGTAGCTTTTGAAGGAAAATAATTACATTACAATCTTACAGTCCAAAACTTTTTAGTTCTAATCAATTAAATATACAAGGTACTATGACAGTGAAAATTAAGCTATTACATCTTGGCAATACACCATATGGAGTCGTTTTTGGACAAAGCATTTAACAGCTCTTAAATTTCATGTCATGCTTAATCAATAGGTAGGAAATCACAGATATTATTTAATTTTGAATAAGGATTTACATTGGGGAGAATAACTTAATATTGCCCATCTAGAATAGAATGCTCTATATTTGAACTGCTCATTGGACCAAATGCTAAATATAATTAATTGGACCACAAGCTTAACTTTCTCAAAGTAATTGTTACCTCTGAAATATATGCAACAGCCATAGTGCTAACATTTGGCATCAAGAAACAAGAATATGTTGAGCATTTGTAAACATGCCGAAAGAAGTGTAGTATCAATGGACTAGCATATAAAATTAAAGAAAGAACAAAAAGCATTAAATACTTACGCATCATCGATGAACTTCGCTGCAACAGCTATACCCGTAATGAGCAACCGGTGAACATTTAGGGAAGTAAGGTAAGTGTCAAGCTGAAGAAGGAACCTCTCGATGTATATGAAGGCTAGAACAAAACAAGAAGGACTACACCTTGAATACTTAAAAATGCGCTTAATATAGCCTTGTATACCAATATTTGGTGCTCTCAGTCCATGAAACACAGTAAAAATCTCTGCTGTTTTCATCGATCCAAGGATATGTTCATTTTTATGAATAATTCTCTCAAGAACAGAAGATAAAAGAGTTAACACACATGGAAATTCATCAACTCTTTTTCCTGGCTCAGTCAACCCTAAACATAGAAAGAGTTCGGGATGTACATCCTCTTTTTCACGCGGGAAAGATTCCATGATATCAGCACAGTACCTAAATGAATAAATTGATTAGACTTAATCAGTCATATTAACTAAACAAACATCATTGATCACAATGTAGTAATGTACCAACGCAACGCATCAGAATATATGAGAAAGTCATTCTGTTTTGAACAGCAATAATACCGAACAAAAATATCATCTTTTATTACTGTTCTTCAATGTTATCATCTTTAATTACTGTTCTTCAAGTTAGGTCATATGAATAAGATTATGAAAATGACTCGCAGTACTCTCTACATCTTACTTGTCTACATCTTACTTGTTCGTAGCCACTAAGATAGCAAAAAGATGGATTCCAGAGTAAATATAACACAGGGCCATCATCTAGGCTAGTTGAAAAGCAAATTCTTATGAAGAGGTCTAATTACAGCTGTTTCAATAAGATCATACCAAGATGGTTAATACTTATCAGAAAGAGTTGTAGTAGAAGCATTTATAACATTTAGGCTGCATTTCACTCCACATAAAAGATGCCTACTTTTGTATCAAGGAAATTTTAAACTCCAGAATCGCTGAATACAGATTCCGAAAGCATACATAAAGTCAAAATCCCCCTTTTCCTCTGCTACCGAAAACAAAAGCAGCAAGATCTCACATTTAGATCTCAAAGAAAAACCCTATAACGAAAACAATATGGATTACACCAAGTCGCTTCCTTTGCCACTTCTTTACACTCATTAATTCGGACATTATGTTCAGAATAAAAAGGAACAAAAAATCTTACAGCAGAAAAAGTTATCTGATCTAGAGTGCTGCGGCTGTTAAAAAAGACAGCTGAGCTGCTGCCATTGTCTAATTTGTCTGTAATGAAAGCAGAAGCTTCTGCGGAATTCTGAGTTGTGTTTTGTGAAAGGAAATGGTCTGATGAAGAAATGGGATTCAGAGCTGGTCCGCATTCAGGAAGGTTAGTGTCGGCATCTCAAGGGAAGAGTGGGAAATGAAAAGAAGGGCGAGTAGACAATATAGTCGGTGGGAATGGGACCTAAAGCTGAGTAGGGTGGAAGGTCTTTTTTTGTTTCCAGCTGGAGTTGGCCAGCTATATCAAACTGCTTCTGTGGTGGGCTTAATAAATACGAACTATATTTTTGTTCATAATAATGCCTGTATATTTTATAAGATTGATATTTATCAAATGTTTATACTTGTTGAACTTGCATTTTTTAATCAATATGTAAAGCTTTTTCTGTGCGCAAATTACTTTAGTTCATGTAAGTTAGAAGGAATAAGTTTAAATGAGGGTTGAAAGAAGTTGAAATGTGTGAATTGAATTAAGAGATTAATAGATTTTATAGAGATAAGATCACAAATATGCAAAAGACAAGAAATATTGGACCTTACCAAAAGAATAGGAGCCAATTGAAAGCCAAAAATCTTTCAATGGATGTTAAAATAAATTTTTATGGTGGGAAAAATAAAATACATTTAAAAATTTTATATTTATCATCAAATATAATGTAGAGAATAAAATATCATCTCAAATGACATCTCATGAGAAGGACTCTTATGAAAACCATTGATTAAAATAGTGATAAATATTTTTATAATTTTGAAATTTGAAGGAGGTTGTTTTTTGAAATTTTAAAAGGGATTAATTTAATTGGAACTGTTCATTTAGAAGTCAAGGGATGAATATTACTTAGCACTAAATTCTAATAAGATTTTAAGTATTCCAAACTCTCTTATGTTGCGCTTCGGCCTTTTAAAAATATACATTTCGTATTTTTAGGGTTTATATTTCATCAACGAAAGATTGAGAAAATACCTAAAAAGTGAAGACATAAGATGTAGGAAATAAGAAATTTTAAGCCTTTGATCATGTTGAATCCATATTGGTCCGGTGGATGATGTTTGGACGTCCGTCATGAACCAACCTAGAGGCTAAGGACCTCCTTGTAAGGATGACTAAAGCAAAAAGAAAGACGAAAGATGGATTGATTTGGAGATAATATTTATTATCCCAACTAGAAGTACAAGAATGAGTGGGGACGAGAGCTCTAACTCACACAACTTAAGCTAAACTAGGAAAAAACAACATCTCTCTATCTCTCTCTAATTTGTCATGGTATTGAGCTCTTGTCTAGGATTTTTGCTACTCTTTTGGGGTCCCTTCATCTTTTTTTCTTTCTTCTTTTTTTTTTAGAAAAAAAATCTTTTTTATCCCAACAAAGAGTTCAAGAATTAGAGGGGTCGTGAGCTCTATCTTATAGAGCTTAAGCTAAAATTAAAAAACTTCAATATATATATATATATAACTTTATTTCATCGAGGTGTCATTTACGTCGCTTGCTGGTATTGGGATTGAGGTCTTGAGTGGTGTGTGGTATTTTTCCTTCCTTTTTTGTGTCCCCCTCCCCCTATTTATAGAGTTGGGAGAGTTTCAGTAGAGTGTGTACGAGGTATATTAGTCGTAATGCCAGTCTTTAATAAAGCTAGATGATGGGGGATGCATTTAGTTTATGTTTTCTTGGATATAACTCTAAAAAAATTATAAGTACACGTGTTGATCAAGTAATAAAGTGTATGAGAGAGTGCCGACCTTATGTGAAAATATTGTGCTACACACAACATAAATAAGTACCATCTACTCAAATTATGGTAATTTTCATATGAAATAAAATTAGGGGTAACCTCTATCTCTAATGAGAAATGCAAAAAATATTGAAGATATCAATAATTAAAGTGTTTTGGAATGATGACTGTTAATATCCTAAGTTTTCTTAAGCAGACTCCTTTATATTAGTAATGCGAGGGTGTGATGTTATGCATGTGTTATGTGTGTACGACTGTTAATGTTTGAATATGCTTGAGTTTTCTTTCATATGAAATGCCCACTAGATAAACAAGTATATGTGTTGAACAAGTAATAAGGTGATTGAGTGAGTGTCGATCTCATAAGAAAGTGTTATGTAAGATTGTAATTAAATTAATACTGTCAATTACATATGGAAGGTTTATCCTACCCAACAAAAATAATGGGTTTTGAGTTTTTGTCACTTACAAAGAATGAAAAAGATGATGAGATACCAATATATAAAGTACATTTTGAACTAATTCTTGTAAAAAAAAATATTTTCCTAATGAGAGTCTTAAATATTATTATGTATCAGAGCATATGCATCCATAGATCTTTATGAAGCTTGTAGGGGTGAAATGGGAGGTTTATGCCCTTCCTAAAATTTTAATGCCTCGATAGAACCTAAACAATTTAATATTAAATGTCTAGGCATCCATACATTGCACTTTCCTTGCTTCCCTTAGACTTTACTCTAAGGGGTAACAAAAGAACTACACTAAAAATTATAAAACTCTATTAAAAGTGGTAAAACTCTTCAAAAAAACAACTAAAAAACTATTTATAAAAGATAAAAAATTGGTCTCAGGCATCCCAGTGCTCGACATAGTGGTGTTGTAGTGTTACAAGATAAACTAGTACCTCGACACTATTGGGATTGATTTGTTGTGGTGTTGTACTAACTCGACACATCTATTGGTTGAACTAGCATGACTTTTAACTGAAATAGCATGCTCCTTAATTTGGTAATTTCTCTATCGTGGCAAACATTAATACTTATGAATTTTTACCTTTTTTGAGACAAACATAATTAAATAACACATTTTTATTAAATTTAAATATAAGAAATAGTTTAAAAATTAAACTTAACAATTAGTTAAAAACCCGAGTATATGCATCTTTAGATCTCTATCGAGCTTGTAAGAATATAAATGAAGGTTTATTGCCTTCCTATAATTATTAAATATCCATATATACTAAAGTACTAAACATCCAATGTCAATGTGAGCAAGCATTCGATCTCAATTCTCCTAATTATATCAATATTTTTCATCGAGGAAATTTATCACACTGAATGTTAATATTATACATGACCACTGCATAAATTAAATAAATATATGAAGATATTAAAAAAACCATTCAAACTCTAAAATATAAGTGTATATTAGGAATTACAAAGGTTTTCACATCAAGAGTTCAAAACTTTGTGGTTAGTTGACCATTGAATAAAAATTGAAAAGTACAAGAAGAGAAGATGAAGAAAATATTTCTCAGAATGAAGAAACCCAAATGTATCCTACGGATGGACCCATTTTAAAGTGAATCTCCCATTACAACTTTGATCTTGACACTCCTTTTCTCTTTAATTGATTTTTTTCTCTCTATAATGTTGATTAGTTGCTCTAAAAGATGTATCTCACTATTCCTTACTATGTCTTAGACTCTCCTCTAAACTTCTCAAAAAATCTCTCACTAAAATAAGAAAAACTATTGATACTTGATACAAAAATAAACTCATGTGCCACAGTGCTCGATAAGGTAGCACTGCAATGTTTGAATATGATACAGCACCTCGATGCTTCTTGAGTTGCTTCACTACAGCATTGGGCTGACTTGGCATGGATGTTGACTAATTTGGTGCAACTTTTGGCTGAGTTAGCATGACATTTCCTTTCCTTAACTTTTTTCCATAAAATTTTCCAAAGATGAGCACTATTATGCTTGATTGTGCTTTGCAAGACTGCTTTCATAGTTCAATGCTCTTGTGTTGAATTATGTATAGATTATTTATGAGACTTTGGCACTCTAATAATCAATTTTAGTGATGCGTGTTGCAACTCGGGATCCCGAGTTAATGATTTTAATGATAATAAATAGTATTGATTTCCTCTTTATTTTTTGAGTATTTGTAGTACATATTAATTTATGTGCTAATTAACATTTCATGTACAACATGCACTATTATTTGAAGATTCAGGGCTCAAGATGAGATAGAATAGGTTATTTGTATTGGTGATCATGCAGTACTAACATGCAAAATTGAATTGATCGTACTGTATGAGTGGTCATTCGTACTAATGATCGCAAAGTATTACTAGGTCAAATTTTGCACATCATACTAGACGATCCTTTAATTGTACAGTATGATCTTTGACATATGAATTGAATTTTTAGGGTTTTTAAAAGCCCTCTATTTAAGATTTCTTATAAGAATTTGTAAGAGTCTCTTTGGCATTCGTTGAGTTGATTCCTTCTAATGAAAGCTTGTAGAGAGAGACTTGAGCTAAAAGGAGAAAGGGTGAGGTTTATGAGAAAGGAATAAGATCCTTGTGAGTTTCAAGGGAGTGTGAGAGAGAGTTCCACACAGTTGCTCCAGTGAACTTGCACCTGAGTTCCTCCATGTGTCAAGGTTTGTCTTGAGGAAAGTTTTGGGAAGAAGATCTCTTTGGTGTCAAAGGACATGGCTTCTCCATCGCTTCAGGAAGGATGAAAGGGATTCGTGGTTCTCTGCCTATGAAAGTATTCCAATTCTCTGCCATCTCTAGGAGGAAGAAAAAGGATTCAAGGTTCTCTTTATATGAAAGGATTCTAATTCTTTTCCATCTCTAGGAGCGAGAAAAAAGATTCAATGTTCTCTGCCCGTATAAGGATTATGGTCCTCTGTTGTACCAAGTTGGTGGAAGAGATTTTGTAAGGGATTCTCTACCTAACTGTGTGGACTAAAGGAGAGATACTATAAAGATAGTGCAATACCCAGAGAGGAGGAATCCGGGGAGTGAACGTGGGTCATGATTTGACCGAACCACTATAAATCTGAGGTGCACATTCTAATATTTACTTTCTACACTTTATTTTTTCATATTTTATTTTCTGTTATAACTAATTAGTTAAAAATCTATGATTAA